GATAACATGATTTCTGGCTTATCACCGCAGATTGTGCACCACAACTACAATGGCAACTGCAGCAATACTGCAAATTTAAAAAGGCATGCAAGTTCTGTGGGCTGGGATATGAATACCACAGGTAGGTGTGTGTTCAACCCCTTGTCAGAAGACTGGAAGGCAAAAGAGGGAAAATATCAAATACTGATTTTTCACCTCTTTCAGAACAGTAAAAACCCTTTTCATATCTACTGTGATAAAAAATCAAGTACCGATGAGGTATTTATAAAAATCAGGAGATATCTGTAGCAGGCAGAAGTGAGCAAAAGATGTAGATGCTTTACTTTTCAAAAGATGCATGGATAATAATTACACGAAAAGATGTTCATGAAAAGATAGTCATACCCCATCTAGAATGGAGGGGTAATACCCCATAAAAATGGGGGGAGGAGATGAAAAGTCCTTCAGTATAACATACAGATGGCCAAAGGGTATATGGAGGGAAAAAAAGATCTGTGTCATTTATCATTAGGGAAATACAAACAAAAACAATGAGATACCATCTCACACCACACAGGAGAGTGGCACACAACACAAAGAGGGAAAAAAAAGGCAGCATTGATGTGGGAAAAAGAGACCTTCATCCAGTGCTGGTGGGAAGGTTGACTGATCCAGTCTTTTTGGTATAGTCACTTTAGGTATGTATAAATACATCTCAAGAAACTAGGAATTGAGCTCCCATATAATCCACCAATGACACTTCTTGGTTATTACCAAAAGGGGACAAAAATCTATTTAGGAAAGACATTTGAATTTCTCTGGTGAAGACAGCCAGGCGCGGGGAGAGGAGACTCTGCATTGTTCCCTATCAGGAGCTTGGTTTTATAGTCTCTGGATCTTGAGTTTCCTTCCCCACCCCAAGCAGAGCCCCAGCAGCTGAAGACCTCCAGAACCCAGACACAGCCATGCTTAAGACCACACTCCACACGCTCGGACGAGCCTCACGCATGAAGGAACTGGCAGAAGAACCTAAAGAACCTAGGTGTGTGGGATGTGGGGCTGATATCTCCAAGCCTGCTTGGATCGGGACTGAGCCTTCTCCACCCAGATCGCCCACCTTTCAGTAGCTAGACAGTTACACCCGCCAACTGCTCCCAATGCTGTGTAATCTCATCAATGGCCAAGATCCAGAGACTATAAAACCAAGCTCCCGGAAGCACACTGCCAAACAACCTCTTATTGTCTACTTTTCACTCTCAGAGAACCAGGAAGGCTACCAAGAGTATCCTGCCCACATGGCAAGTCTGGCAAGCACCCTGCAGCGTATTTGATATGCCAAAACTCAGTAACAATGATGGATCTCATTCCCCTGACCCTGAAAGAGCCTCCAATGTGGCACTTGCCAAAATCTTAGGGCTAGGATGAATGAAGACGCTACTGGTGCCTGCTCGAGGAAATCAATGAACAACAGGATGACAGTGATACAGTGATTTGAATTTCTAAATTCATTGCCAAACTATTCATAATAGCCAAAATCTGGAAATCATGCCAAGAGTGAAGCGGGGCAGGGAAGAGAGCAAAGCAGAGGAGAGAAGGGGAGGGGAGAATAGAGGAGAGGAGGGGAGGATAGTACATACACACACAATGGAAAACTATTTGACCATAAGACAGAGTCATACAATTTATAGCTACAGCTATATGGATGGACCTGGAAAGTATCATGCTGAGTACAGTTAGAAGGTAAGAGACAGAAACAGAAAAATTCTTCTCATTTTTAGGATATAAAGAAACATAGAAAGTAAATAATAAATGCACAAAGGCAAAAGAAAGTGAGGCCAAGTTCTTTAGTAGGAAGCTTATCTTGGGGGACATGGTGGTTGAGGAGGAAGAAAGACCTTGCTGAGGGAAATATACACTGGTGGGAGGTGTGGTACTGGAATGTTTGTACATGAAACCCTATCATTAACAGTATTGTAAATCACAACGCCTACAAGAAAGTTTTAAAATCATTAGTCCTAGAAAAATAAAAGTTATAACCAGAAGAAGATCATGCAAGTGTTGGCAAAGATGTGTGGTAGCTAGAACTCTTAAAACACCGCTGCAAAGTGGCACAACTACTTTGGAAAAACAGTTGGGTAGTTTTCTAGCACTATCCCTGTGAACCAGTCATTTGGCTCCTCTGTATTTTCTCAGAGAAATTGGGGAGAACTGTATCTTCACAAATATTTGTAAAACCAGTAGAAGTTTGTTGAGTTCCAAACCAGAGGCAGTGCAAAAGAATAAATGAAAAATTGGCTCTTCATCACTAATCATCAAAACAACAGTGAGATATCATCTCACACCACAAAGACTGGCCCACATCCAAAAGAACAAAAGCAACCAGTGTTGGCATGGATGTGGGGAGAAAGGGACTCTCCTTCAGTGCTGGTGGGAATGCCAACTGGTTCAGACCTTTTGGAAAACAGTATGGATGCTTCTCAAAAAATTAGAAATTGAGCTCTCATTTGACCCAGCAATATCACGTCTGGGAATATACCCAGAGAGGCAAAAAAGTATAGTAGAAATGACATTTGCACTTGTATATTCATTGCTGCACTGTTTACAATAGCCAAAATCTGGGGGAAAAAAGCCCAAGTGCCCAAGAACAGATGACTGGTTAAAGAAACTTTGGTACATCTACACAACGGAATACTGTGCAGTCATTAGAAAAGATGAAACCATGAAATTTGCATATAAGTGAATCAACATGGAAAGTATCATGCTACGTGAAATGAGTCAGATAAAGAGGAACAGACATAGAAAGATTGCACTCATCTGTGGAATACAAAGTAACAGAATGGGAGACTAACACCCAAGAATAGTAGAGATAAGGACCAGGAGGTTGACTCCTCATCTTGGAAGCTGGTCTTAAATGCTCGAGGGAAAGACAGCTCAGACAGAGATGGGAACACCAAGTAAAGGGTGTTTGGAGGACCTGCTTGGGTTGGGAGATGCATGCCGAATATAGACTGTAGATGGAACACAATGGCCACTCAATGCCTCTATTGCAAACTACAACACCCAAAAGGAAAGAGAGAACAAAAGGGAATGGCCTGCCACAGAGGCGGGGTGGGGTGGTGGGGGATAGGGTGGGGGTGGTGGGAGGGATACTGGGATCATTGGTGGTGGAGAATGGGCACTGGTAGAGTGATGGGTACTCGATCATTGTATGACTGAAACGCAAGCACAAAAGTTTTTAAGTATGTAAACTGTACCTCATGGTGATTCACTAATTAAAAAAAAATTGCGTGATACCAATATAAGGGAATTCTGTCCAGAAACAGAAAAACATATGAATCTCAAAACATTAGCCTGAGAAAGGGGGTAAAATCAAAAAGAGCATAACCGCCCCAAAAGTACATATCTGTAAAATTCATTTTTATAAAAGATCATGAAAATGCAAATTAGTAGATAGTATAAGGCAACAGCCTGGAGAAAATGTGGATAGAAGGCAGAATAATGCTGGGAAGGAGCGAAAGAAATTGACTTCAAAGGAACAAGAGGAACTTTTCTTTTTTTTTTGAATATTATATTTTTTATTAGTAAATCTCCATATGGTACAATTACAGACTTATAAACTTCCCTGCTTGCATTTCAGTCATACAATGGCCAAGTATCCATCCCTCCACCAGTGCCCATTTTCCACCACCAATGGTCGCAGCATCCCTCCCACCATCCCCACCCACCTCTATGGCAGGGATTTCCCTTTTGCTCTCTCTCTCCTTTGGGGTGTTATGGTTTGCAATAGAGGTATTAAGTGGCCATCATTTTTGTTCTATATTCTGCTTTCAGGATGCGGCTCCCATACCAAACGAATCATCCTAGCACCATTTACTTGGTGATCCCTTCTCTAACTGAGCTGCCTTTTCCCCCAGTATGTGAGCCCAGCTTCTAAGCTGTGGAGTAATCCTACCAGAGGAACTTTGCAGGGTAAGGAACGTTTACTCAACTATAATGATGATTTCATGGGTTGTAAAAATATTAGATCAAACTGTCCACTTTAAACATATTCGGTTTAGTGTGTGCCATTCACACCACCATAAAGCTATGTTTGAAATAATTAAAACGTTAGCGGCCTTGCAAAAGTACCGCAGGCATCAGAGGGGAGCCATGCAGCCCTGGAGAGGCCCGAGGGCGGCTCCAGGGTGGAGGCGGGAGGGGCGGCAAGGAATCCCTGGGGTGAGCGGCGGCACAGGAGGATGGGCTCCGGCAATCCTCCACCCACTCAATAGTTCACGCCTGCGTTCACCTAGTGACTGCTGTCAAGGTCCAAAACCCGGCGTGCAGTTTCGTAAGAGCCGGCTGGGCCGATATCCACCAACGAGACGGAAGTAACCTCGTCCACTCATCATCGAAGTGACCCAACGAGAAATTTCCGGTCTCGATTCCCGGCAACCTCCGGCCTACGCCACCTCAACAGGCCCGTTCCCCCCCCCCCCCCACTGGGCTTTGCGCGCGATGCTGGAGGCGGGGTCGGGACTGACTCCGCCCACAGAGCCCACAGCCCCTCCCACCCACCGGGCCGGGCTTTCCGCGCGGTGCTGAGGCGGGGTCGGCGCTGACTCCGCCCACAGGGCCGCCAGAGGCGGGGTGAGCGCTGACTCTGCCCACGGAGCCCACAGTCCCGCCCTCCCGACCCAGCTTTCAGCGCGGTGCTGGAGGCGGGGTCGGCGCTGACTCCGCCTACGGAGCTGTCAGAGGCGGTCGACAATGACTCCGCCCACAAAGACCACAGCCCCGCCCACCGGGCCGGGCTTTCCACAAAGAGGTTTGGACGGCGGAACTGGAGGCGGAGTCCGCGCTGATTCCGCCCCCGGCAGGGTCGCTTTACGGCCGGAGGGGAGGGTGGGTCCAAGACCTGAGGTAAGACGTGTAGCTGAGGGGCGGGGTTACGACGCTATTTTGCGGCCAGACGTAAGTGAGGTCGTAGGCGGTGCGACTGCAGCTGGAGGCCGAGGAGGCGGGTTCGTGTTTCCCGGGTCGAACCGGGCTGTGGGGGGCGCGGGCCGTGGGCTCGGGCGGGAGCGAGAGGCCGCGCGGGGCAGCGTGGGGCGGGAGCGGGATGCCGCGGCGCCTGGCGGGTGGGCGCGCCGGGCCTCTGACCGCGCTCCGTGTCCCCTGACCCCGCAGCGCCGCCCGGCCTGTCCTCGCCATGAGGCCGCAGCAGGCGCCGGTGTCCGGGAAGGTGTTCGTGCAGCGAGACTACAGCAGCGGCACGCGTTGCCAGTTCCAGACCAAGTTCCCCGCCGAGCTGGAGAACCGGGTAGGCAGCAGGGGGAGGACGTGCGGGGCCGGAGCCGCGCGGAGTCGGGGGAGCGGGGCCGAGGCCCGGCGCCACCGTCTAACGCCGCGCCCGGCCCGGGTCGCTGACAGCAGTGATGGGGGCTGATTCACTCCGGGGTCGGCGCGCCGTGACCAGAGAAACCGTTGGCCTGTCGGGGACGGGCTCTTGGGGCTGCCCCTCCGGACGCGCTGCTCCACAGAAGGCGTTCGGCAAGTGCCGGAAGCAGTACCCTGGGCACGGAACCCTAACATCGAAGAGCAGGAGCTGATCCCTAAAAGGGGTTGAAATCTCGAACACTCACACAAGTGTCGAAATTTTGGTCAGTAAACGAGCTCTCAGGTTCGAGAGCCTTTGTTGGCAGTTTTGCCTCAGAAACAGGAACCTGGCTTTGCCCCTGCCTTCGTTCCTCAAAGTCAGGACACACACACACACATCATTGTTCTTTCAAAGGTGCGGTGGAGTGAGCTTGTTCTGTGAGTGTGTGAGTTTTCTGAGACTCCTGGTCTTGAGCCGTTCTGCCTTGCTTTGTTTCCTGCTCAGAGGTGAGTTTCTGCACGGATGGGAGCAGGTTTTGTGGCTCCTTCCTCTGACAAAGCATGAGGGACTGAGGCGATGAGGCATGCTGTGGGTGTGGGTCAGAGACGTGTGGAATAAGTGGGTGTAGATGAGTCTGTGCTGGAGAAATGTGTAGCAGTTGTTTAAAATTAGCACGTAGTAAGGTAAGTTGCTCTACCAGATTGCCACAGCTGGAAAACCCACGATGATCAATGACAGTGGCCTTTAGGTAGATTTATACCTGTAGGCTGGTTGGTGACTCAAGTATATTTCTTTCAGGCAAATTTAAGACAAAGCTTGCCTTGGCCTTGTAAAGACGGCTCCTAGACTGTGAAATGCCTTATAAATGCTGATGTTTGTTGTCATGGTGTTGTGTTAACTCATCTTGACAATAGGTGGATAATTCCAATTGTTTGAAAGGTTAGAAAATTGCATATTGACTAAAGCTCTTAAATGTTTATAAAGTAATTTAATGTCACAGTTAATATGTTTTTTACATATTAGGACTTAATATAAAATGGATCAACGTTTTTGAGTGTCTTCTGGGAACTCATGCTTGCACTGTTTTGTTTTGTTTTCCTTTTTTGGTTTTTGGGCCACACCCAGTGGTGGTCAGGGGTTACTCCTGGCTCTGCATTCAGGAATCACTCCTGGCAGTGATCAAACTGGCAATGATGCCAGTGGTCAAACCTGGGTCAACTGCATGCAAGGCAAGCACCTCACTTGCTGTACCTTCTCTCTAGCCTCTACACTTTTAAATCAGAATGCATTTTATTCCTTTTTATCATATTTACTGGGTAGTAAAAGATTCCTTTGATTAAAGGTTTTAGAGTCTAAAACTCACCAAATACATGTGTCATGTGTGTAGAATCAGATAAAAATTTTCTGCTCTGCGGGTGGTGGTCTTTAGTTTACAGTCCAAATATGGAAAAACGTAATCACATTGTAGTGGTTTTTACAGGATATTAATGTGTCTAAATTCTGGAGACGTTCCTGACTTTATATATCCTAGAAGTACTCTGATTCTGAGTGCTTGATAAAATATTGCATGATTTTGTTCAGTTGTGCCTTTCCAGATAGGAAAGATGACTTTAAAGAGCTGAAATGCGTGCTTTGCATACAGGAGGCCTCACAGTGGTTTCCTCACCCCCACTCCAGCTAACATCAAGCAGCACCAAGCTGAGGGGAACCCCCCTTCCTCCAAAATTGTGCCTTAGATTTTTTTCTTTTTAAATGTTTGCTTGGGGGGATGGGGGCGTAGCTGAAGCAATAGTACAGCGGGTAGGGGCTTGCCTTGCACACAGCCAACTTGGGTTTGATCCCTGCCAGGATCCCATATGGCCCCCTGAGGACTGCCAGGAGTGACTCCTGAGTGCAAAGCCAAGAGTAATCCCTGAACAAAGTTAGTAGTGGCCAAAAACCCAAATAAATGTTTGCATCAAGAGACCAACTATGCGGCTGGAGCAATAGCACAAGGGGTAGGGTATATTGGCCTTGCACGCGGCCGACCTGGGTTCGATCCCCGGCATCCCATATGGTCCCCCAAGCACCACCCTCCTGATTCCTGAGTGCAGAGCCATGAGTAACCCCTGAGCATCGCTGGGTGTCACCCAAGAAGCAGAAAAAAATAAAGAGACCAACTTAAAACTTTAAACTGCTTGGGAAAGCGTTATTGTATTATTTTATATGTTGTGATTAAATTTAAATTATAGCTGAAAGTTGTCCTTGCTTTGAAAATTTAGGTTTCTTTTTCTACTTAACCTGTAAATTGTACTATTTGCTGCATTTCCTTTAGTGAAGTCAGCCTTTTTCCTTTTGTAAAAATGTCTTTTTTTGGCAATCAGATAGAGGAAGAATTAATATATAGTTAGCCTATGTTACTATAAAGCATTTTATATGTATATACGTAATAAGTATTTGTACCATTTAGTTTCAGAGTGAGGACAAATATTCTTAACAAGCATACTTTCTCCACTGCCTGTTAGAATGGGATGCTTTGGTGCTTACATTCCTTATTGCCACAACATTTCAGGAAAACAGTGTTTCTCAACCTTCTTCCCCCTTCTTTCCTTCCTGTGGCCTGCCTGTCGTACTGTCTGGCTTCCTGATCTCCTGCTGTGACCCCTCCATTTATGTGATTTTTCTACCTGTGGCCACCTTGGAATATCTTGAGCCCATAGGAGGACATACTTAAACTCTGCTTTAAAGGAAGGGTTACCCTCACTTGAGACATCTCAAACTCCTTTAGTCTGGACCAAATAAAGTGAACTATTAAGTATTTCTCTACTCATCTAGAAAAATGTATCTCTATGTCTGGTCAGAAATTGCCTTTGACTTAACACTTTTAAAAACTAATTTAGGCACTGTGTTTTATAGTACTCTTAATAGAGTTTCAGGTCATACAGTGTACCAACTCCACTCCCAACACCGGTGTCAGACTCCCTCTACCACTATTTTAGAGTCCCTCTCTGTATTTAAGAGGTTTTCAAACATACTTAACCTGCCTCTTCCTTTTCCAGAAAAGAAAAAGTCAGCATCCCCCAGGAAATCTACATACTTGAAGCACCTGTTTGCAACTGAAACTATTACCTTGTAACCTCTGAATCAGTCCAGTGTCCCTGCCCACCCTGTGGGGCCAGTTTTGTCCACTTTGAAAAGACTGATCAAGTTCACTGTATCACTGCATCACTGTCGTCCCGTTGATTGTCGAATTACTTAAGCGGGCGCTAGTAATGTCTCTATTCCTCCCAGCCCTGAGATTTTAGCAGCCTCTTCTTATCTTTTCCCAACAATTGGAGGCTCTTTCAGGGTGAGGGGAATGAGACCTGTTGCCGTTACTGTATTTGGCATATAGAATACGGCACAGGGAGCTTGCCAGGCTCTGCCCGTGCGGGCAGGATACTCTCTGTAGCTTGCCGGGCTCTCCGAGAGGAAGAGTTCAATAAACAAAAAATGAGTTGGATTTCTATTTCTATTGTAGCTTCTCATGTTATTGGGCCAAAGTTTTGTTTGGCTCAAATTTAAAGTAACTCCAAATTTTTATGTAGCCCCTAAGTTAATGCTCTAGTAAATAAGGAAGAACTCAGATGACTTTTCTTCACGGGTCCTAAAGGCAGGAGATTTTTTTTTTAAGCCCACAATTGTTGTGTTACGCTCATGCTTATAATATCCTTTGATTTGACTACTGCATAACCATGCATTTTACCTTTTCTCTTTTTAAATAACCTTTTGAGTCCTTGACATTTTTTTTTACTCTTATAATCCCATTTTAATTATTAGCCTTTTAAGAAGTCCTTCATCTTGTTTTCTGCTTTATTCTTTGTGATCTATTGATCTATTCTTTACCTGCATGCTAGAAAGCATTGAAGTTGTTAAAAATTAGTTATTTCTAAAAAAAAATTTTTTTTCTTTTTGGGTCACACCTGGCGGTGCCCAGGGGACCATATGGGATTCTGGGAATCGAACTTGGGCCGGCCGCGTGCAGGGCAGATGCCCTACCCGCTATGCTATCACTGCAGCCCCTAAAAAAACTTTTTTTAAATAGTATTTTTTGTAACTTTAATTTTGATAATAAAGGTAAAAAGGTAAAGGCCCTCCCGTTGATCGTCGATTTGCTCGAGCGGGCCCAGTAACGTCTCCATCGGAGACTTTGTTGTTACTGTGTCTGGCATATCGAATACTCTCGGTAGCTTGCCGGGCTCTCCAAGAGGGGCGGAGGAATTGAACTCGGGTCGGCCATGTTGGCCGCTTGTAAGGCGAACGCCCTACCCGCTGTGCTATCGCTCCAGCCCAATTTTGATAATAGTAATTCTAATCTCAAAGAAATAAGGTATTTCTGAGTTGGATCCCATCACTTCATGTCATTGTATCCAGAGAAACAAAAAATAAGTTTTTAAACTATTGATTCATAAGATTGCAGGCAAATTAGATTATTTTAGATTACTTAGACTTTTGAGGGACAAAATAAAGACATTGACTTAGGCATAATTAGATGAACATAAAACAATTTACCATTGATTTTTGTTCTCTGGCCTATTCTCAGTCTGTTTTCAAGAAATGAGAATTCTGACTTAGGTTCCCTATATGACCAATCTTGGCATACCACATCTTCAAAATAAAGGAAAACATCTTTGGCTCCTAGCATCCTCTCCACCCACCTAACCCTTGTCAGAAACTTCATATTCTCTGAAATTTAAAAAGAAAAAGGCTCCATTTCAAAAATTCAATATTTTAGTAAGCTTATAATATATTTTTCATAGCATTCACTCACTCATACAGTCCTCCGTTTTCCATACCAAAAAAAGAAAAATCTGCTTACAACAACCTCCACTAAAAGATTTTTATAGCTTGAAATAATCATTGTTTTATTTCTTTAAAATTATATTTTGGGTAATATTTTATCTCAAGCTACATCTTGAGCTTCTTTGATTGTTTTTTCTGAATGTTTCTATACAAAAAATTCACAGAAGTTATTTCCTAAAACTAATTATAGCTATCAGTTTTAGGAGTGAAAGATAAAAAAGCAAGCTTAGAGTGAGGACTGACAAAATTGCATTGTTAAAAAGATTGTTTTGCATGAAATATTAATGTACTTTGAAACTCCTAGAGTAAAACTCTAAGGTGTTCAAGTTTGAATTGTACAAAATTCTCACTTTTTTACATTGGAAAAAGAGAGGAAATGCAGATGGTTAGCAAAAAGTAGATGATGGGTGACCAAGAACAGATAGGCCAAGTGCATGTAAAGAATGCTTAGCAGTGAAGCACAAGTCCATCTCTGGCACCACACAGTGCCTTGAGCCCCAAGACACAGCCTAGTGTAGTGACTGAAAGCAGACCAAAAACTGGATGATGATGTTGATGATAGCATTAATATAAATGTAAATTAGACCATAGGAATGACTTGATTTAGAGAGTTGTGGGGTATTTTAATATTCTTGCATTCAAATTGTAAACTTTCAGTATTCAGAGTTACTTTTAAAAACATGTGAGCAGAGCTGGAGTCATAGCACAACAGGTAGGGCGTTTGCCTTGCACGCAGCCTACCCGACTTCAATTCCCAGCATCTCATATGGTCCCCTGAGCACCGCCAGGAGTAATTCCTGAGTGCAGAGCCAGGAGTGACACCAGTGCATCATCAGGTGTGACCCAAAAAGCAAAAAAAAAAAAAAAAAAAATTATGGGAGTTTGAGGAAAGAGAATGTAAAACTTGGACCTCTTGATCTGTCTACTTCAAAGTCCCCTTCTTTGCCTAATAAGTCCCAATGTTTTGGTTACTCAATTGACCAGCTCTTCACTACCAGGTGTTGGCTCTGGTGATCACTAGCAATGAAGAGTCCACACCATGCTGCATTCTTAAACCCCACCTTTGACTTGTCTGGCTCATTTGCATGTGAAGCAGTAAATAAACAGAAATTTCCTTCTCTGTCCATGTAAAGGGAAAGTCTCTCTTATGCCTCCACTACACCTTATATATGGAGTCTTCTATACTACCCCGTCAGTTGATTGTATTTTTGTTTACAAAGCTGTTCTGCTTACATAAGAGTCAACTCTTTGAGAACTGATTAATCTTTCTCTGAGACCTGTTGATCATTCTGGTGGTATGTAAATGTAAATACAATTAAACAGAAAGATTGATGAATTAAATAGCTTACTTAAAATTCAGCATGAAGAAAAAAAAATGTAGTATCAACGCCACAGAATGCAGTGGATAGGGTGTTTTTGTCCCCAGTACCCCGTATGATCTCCCACCAGCAGTGATCCATGAACTTAGAACCAGGAGTGGCCTGACCACTGCTAGGTATGGCAAGGAATGTCATATTGAACCTTGAAGATATCCATTGTGCATAAGAGGAATAAAATTAAGTCCTAAATTTCAATAAGAGAAGTTCATATTTAATCACCTAAAAGTATTTGCCAATTATTGGTAAAAATGTTGACAAAACAGTAAATTAGTCATAGCAAACATTATTGTTGATAATATTTTTCCAAAATTTTTATTCCTACAGATTGATAGGCAGCAGTTTGAAGAAACAGTTCGAACTCTAAATAACCTTTATGCAGAAGCAGAGAAGCTTGGGGGCCAGTCATATCTGGAAGGCTGTTTGGCTTGTTTAACAGCATACACTATCTTCTTATGCATGGAAACTCATTATGAGAAGGTAAGGGTTCATTTGTTTTCACAAATCTATTAAAATAATAAAAACACGGGGCAGGGAGATAGTTCAAAAGCTGTAGCATATGATTTGGTTGTGGTAACCGCAGGTTTAATCCTGCACCAAATGATTTCCTGAGTACTGAGCCAGGAGAAGTCCCTCAACACTGCTGGGTGTGCCCTAAAATTAGAATAAAACAAAAGATCATTTAAAGGCGAGTTCAATCCATGATTATGATTATGATTATTCATTAACAACTGACAGAATTGCAAGAGGCATAGTTGATCAAATTCCACTGCTTGCCCTATGTCCTTTATTTTTTTTATTTTATCTTTTGGCGATGGTGGTGCTCAGGGCTTACTCTTGGCTCAGTGTTCAGTGATCACTCTTGGCAGTGCTCATGGGGACAGTATGCTGTACTAGACATCTAACCTTGATCAGCCACATGCAAGATAAGTCCCTTACACTGTACTATCTCTCTGGCTACAGATATTTTGCAGGGGAAATGTATTTAATTTTATGAAATATAAAAATACTCTGTCTAGAACAGAGTTCGGAGTCTTTCAAAAACATTTCACAATTGACATGTCAAGTGAAGTTCTATGTTCATGGTTGGTCTGGAGAGAGAATAGGGCACTTGCCTTGCACACAGCCTACTTGGTCGGTTTTAATCCCTGACTTTCCCATATAGTCCCCATGCACCACTATAATACCTGAGCATCATCACCAGGTGTGCCCCACGACCCCACAAAAAAAACCCTACAACTAAGAAGTATGGGGGGGGCAGAAATCATGTTCTTAATTTTGCCTAGCTTCCTTATAATCATTTTACTGAATGTCTCCATATTTCTATATTAAATCTTCCCACCTGAGTTTCTGTCTACATGCCTACTAAATCCAGAGTTGTCTTCTCAGCTTCAGAAGTCAAACCACAAACCTCCCAGTTTGTTAAATAGCACCCTGACTTTTCGGTACCATCTTTTAGTATGAGGGATAAGAAAGAAAAATATTATCATTTGTCAAACACTTTACACTTTACCATCCAATTTTCATGATTTCCTCTGTCACTGTTCTAATTTGTGTCCTATTATCTCTATTTAATTCTTTTACTTTGCCAGAATGTCTGCTGCTGTCCTCCTAAAACAGACTTTGCTCCCCAGTCACTTCTACTAAGTTAGATCTTTCCTATTTCCCATTTATTGCCTGTAGACAAAGCAATCCCTTTCTCCGCCTCTAGTTTCCCTTTTCAGCTTTACCTACCACTCTTCTTTCACTTCACTTTGTTCAGCTAAACTCTGGTCACCCTCTGTGCCTCTGAGCCAAAGCATTGTCTCCAGGTCTTCACCTAAAATGCTGTTTCACTAGTCTCTTATGTCCCACTTGCACCTAACTTTCCCTTACTCTTTGAATCAAAAATTTTTCTCTCTGGGCTGAAGCGATACCATAGCGGGTAAAGCGTTTGCCTTGCATGCAGCCGACCCAGGTTCAATTCCCAGCATCCCATATGGTCCCCTGAGCGCCACCAGGAGTAATTCCTGAGTGCAGAGCCAGGAGTAACCCTTGTGCATTGCCAGGTATGACCCAAAAAGTGTAAAAAAAAAAAAAAATTCTCTCTATATACATTTTTTGGTATGTTTTCTTACGCTTATCACTCACTACTTTGGAATGTAGCAATTTTACATTCTTATATTATTTGCCCTTCAGGCACATATTTTTATTAAGGCCCATGACAGTGCCTTAAATATTTGTATCTATCTCTTACTAATGTCAGCCTTGGCTTGAGTATATTAGATAACCATTGAAGTTTTTGTTAAGTAAATAATGTTAATCATAGTAAACTCTAATCATTAAATTCTGGCCGTGTTTAGAAAAATATTATCATTTGTGAAAGATAGCCATGTTTAGAAATACTATAACTATATTTAGATTATACCAAACCTGATAGAAATATCCCTACAAAGCAGTTGAAGATTACCGTGTACCTTGCATAGTGGAAAATAACATATAGTGGGTAGGGTGTTTGCCTTGCATGCGGCTGACCAGAGTTCGATATCCAGCATCCCATATGGTCCCCCAAGCACCGCCAGGAGTAATTCCTGAGTGCAGAGCCAGGAGTAACTCCTGAGCATTGCCGGGTATGACCCAAAAAGCAAAAGAAAAAAAAGAAAGTTGCAGATAAGAGGTTTGGAGTAAGGGAGTGGAGAGATGGTATAGTAGATAGGGTGCTTCTCTTGCATGCGGCCAACTCAGATTCAGTCTCTAGCACCCCACCCAGTCCTCGAGCTCTGTCAGGAGTAAGCCCAGAGAACCACTGGGTGTGGCCCAAAAACCAAAATGAAAAAAATAATAGATGCTTTGAACTATTGATTGAAAATGCTGCTATCTTCTTCATTAGTGTTCTAACATGATTTCTCTTGTTACAATCGTATGCCACTAAATAATTAAATTAGTAGTTTACGCCCTCCCTATGTCACACAGAAAAATAGCTAGCTTTCCTTCATGTTTAACACTCGAAAACAGATGTTAGAAAGGGTCTATATCAGCTTTTAGTCTGTTTTTTCTTAGTAATTACTAGTTTTTAGTTAGTAATCCTTGCGTTAAGGCATGACTAGAGCTTTATTCTTTTAAAGGTAAAAGTCTGCTCTGCTCAACAGTGCACAGGGAGTGTAACTGAATAGGGTCTGACCAGGGCACACATTGTGGCTGATCTTAGAGACTTTATAATTCTGTATAACCCTTGCTACTATCAAACAATAGAGCTAACAGAATTATAAATTGTGGTAAGTGCTTTGAAGGCAACAAACTTTCCCATGGTAGAAAATAATAAGAGACTTAAGGGCCCGAGCTATAGTATTGCAGGTAGGACATTTGCCTTGCGCATGATTTACCCGGGACCCATCTCCATCATCCCTTATGGTTACCTGATCACTACCAGAAATAATTCCTGAATGCAGAGCCAGGAGTAAACCCTATGCCTCACTGGTTGTAGCCCAAACACTACCCCCGCCCCCCATAAAAAAATAATAAAAGACCTAATTTAGATTGTAAAACAGATGTTAGAAAACATGACTCTCAGGTGATAACATTGAACTGCTAATTGAAGGATGAAAAGTCTGGACTATTCAGGTAGAGAGATCAATACACGCAAAGGTCCAGAGGACTTAATTGGCCCTGAGAACTGAAAGAAAGCTGATATGGAAGGAGAGGTGTGACGAGAGAATAGCTAGAAATGAAATTGGAGCCCTAACAGAGACATTGGGTTATGTAAAGTACATAGTACAGGAAAGAAGTTAAATAAGATTTTTGGTACTGGGGAAACGACGGACAGATTTAGCAAGAGGTTGGTCTGCTCAGATTTTCCCTAGAGGGTGAGTAAGACAGGGTGCTGTGTGAGCCACACTTGGGGTCACCTGTGCTCAGGGAGTGAGCCCTGGTGGTACTGGCCCTGGGAGTACATGCAGGCTTGGAATTGGGTGGAACCAGTGACTGCATTGGAGACTTCATCTCTGGTATTAAACTCTCAGACCTGATAGATTTCCTATTGAAAGAGCTCTCTCTGCCCTCACGGAAAGCTTATGAAAATGGATCCAGTCAGGAAGTAGTGTAGAAAACCAGGCAAGAGATGACAGGCTGGACAAGGAACAGTGCAGTAGGATAGATGTGAACAAATTTATAATGTTGATGGTGGAACCAAAACATGATGAGGATCTAAATATAGGAGAGAGAATATAAGGCTAAATTCATATGGAGAAAAAAATTGTCATCCAGGGATACATAGTTTTTTGAATACATGTCATCAGATTAAGGTTGAAATACATCTTTTAAATATTTTATTTGGCCTTGTTGTTCATTGTAGATTTTAAATTTGTTGATAAAATTTTAACTTTTATTTATCTTTATGCATTTTCCAAAAAGATAGACCTGATATCAGCTGTAAAAAGAAATTGATAATTGAATGTCAACTAAGTTGAACAGTTTAATGAGTTTTCTCAACTCTATAATAGGTCTTAGTAAATTGCCTTACATCTGGTAAATACTTAAAGGTATTTTAAGACATTAAAAAAATCAGATATTTATCTTTTTTAGCAGCTTCTAGTAATCTTAATGGACAGTTTTTAATAGAAACTCTTTTGATAGTTAATCTTAGAACTCATTATCAGAAATACAATGTAAATTGCCCCATATGTTTTCACTTGAGTTCATAGGCAGTATGTAAGGTAGTGCTTTATAGTCTAGTCAAACTCTATCATTCAGTGAGCAAATATTATAAAGCAAGTAAAGATTTAAGTCTTAAATACAAATTTTAGAGTTGTTTTATTCTAGAAATTAGGAATGAGTAACTAAATCCAGAATGAATACCTGTAATGGTCATAAATAAAATATAATGTGCTTTTATTTTCAAAACTTTGAAAAGTGTGATTTTGTAGTTTTGATAGTAATGATAAAAGTCTAGAATAGCTGCCCTCTCCCGTTTTCCAGTTTGTCTATTAGAAATTTCTGTGCTGCTATTTTCTACTTTATGAAAGAATAGATTGAGTCATTTCATCTTTATTGTTTTAAACACTAAAACTTCTATAACAGGGAGCCAAATACAATAGTGCTTACATATTGTCATGTGAGTTAAATTTTTTGAAATTGTAAAATGGGCCTTTTAAAAATCACTGGAACAATCATGCATTTTTTCCCCACTAAATCTATTATTTATTGATCTAAAATAAAGACGTCTTTCTTTTATTCTCTGTCATTGCCTTCCATTATAATTGGAGAACAAATGGTCTTGTAGAAGGGTCTCCTCTCTGCCTTGTTCATCAATTAGAAAACATCCTTCTCACTGTGGCTGTTATCTGTAAAAGGAACACCAAAGAAACTTAGATATTTTCTGAAGATTCTGCAGTTCTGGTTCACTGAGTTATTATAACTCAGCCTTACTTAGACCGTTTTTTCTTTGTCATGTAAACTTTGTCCAGTTTAATATTCTTAGAGAATATAATCTTTTTGCAAAGTTTTACTGTGTTCTGTAATATTGGTTTTTTAAGTGTTATATAAATTACTATTTGTTGAGGGTTTGAGATTGACATAATCTTGATTAATACTAGTTTTAACATTTTGTTAAGTGAATCATATTAACGCTTTCCTGTTGCTATAGAGAATGATTTTAAAAAGCATCTTGTTTAGGAAATCATTTCTTTTACCAAAATAGTGTAGGAAAAGTTGAAGGCTTCACAAAAAACAGAACTATTTTTTAAACTCAAACCCAGGGGGAGAGAAAGGAGGAAAGCTATTCGGAAGGAATGCTTTCTTTCTTTCTTTCTTTCTTTCTTTATTTTTTTTTTTTTTAAATTTTCATTAGTGAAACACCATTAGGTACAGTTGTAGACTTACAAATTTTTGTGCTTGGGTTTCAGTTATACAATGATTGAGTACTGGTGGAGGGATGCCTCCACCAGTGCCCATTCTCCATCACCAATGATCCCAGTATCCCTCCGACCCACCCATCCCCACTCACCCTACCCAGCCTCTGTGGCAAGGCGTTACCTTTTGTTCTCTCAGTCCTTTTGGGTGCTGTGATTTGCAAAAGAGGCATTGAGTGGCAATCATGTTCGGTCTATAATCCACTTTCAGCATGCATCCCCATCCTGGGAGGATCCTCCCAACACCCTTTACTTGGTGCTCCCTTCTCTATCTGAGCTGCCTTTTCCCTCAGCATGTGCGACTGGACTCCACGCCATGGAGCAAACATCCTGGTACTTATCTCTACTAGTCTTGAGTGTTGGTCTCCTATTTTGTTTACTTTATATTCCTCAGATGAATGCAATCTTTCTATGCCTGTCCCTGTCTTTTTTTTTCTTTGAAATGATAGAAAAATTGCATTATAAGAAAAAACCCACTGAGTTGAATTATCTAATATATATCATCAACACTACCAGGTATATAATTCAAGTTGTACATTGCTCTGATCAATAAACATGGTACAGTAGTGTAAAGATGTTTTCTTTTTTTTTTCATTTTTTTTTTATGTAGGAGTACTGCTATTTATTCAGCCACTGATTAGCTAATTGAATTGGGCATGAATTCCACCTTATGATTTTTTTTCATTTTTTATAATTTTATTTATTGAATCACCATGAGAGCAGCTACAAAGCTTTCAGGTTTAAGTCTTGGTCATACAATGAAACACCCGTCCCTTCACTAGTGCCCTTTCTCCACCACCAAAAACCCCAGTATACCCCCATCCCACACCCTCCCCCTACCTGTGGGGCAGATGATTTCCACATTACTCTCTTTCTCCACTTTGATCACATTCAAAATTTCAATACCAGCCCCACCATTATTATTTGGAAATTTGCCCCAACAATCAGATCTGCCGAAAAGGCAGCAGTAGACAATTTGTTTTCTATTGCTGGTTATGAATAACATGATGTTGCGTGGCTGTAATAGTGGCCACACAATTTTGAAATTCCGAAATTTTAACACTTAAATCTGGAGGGATTTCTGCCAAAACCTGCTGGGTTCTGAGGTTTGTTCCTGAGTCTCTTGGATCATGGCCGTTAGGCAGCTTGATCAGGAGCCAGAGAGGCCTTTTGTTGGCGGCGACTTGGCATCTTGTTGTGGTGGGGGAAAGGGCTAGCTCCACCCCCATTCTGTGAGACCCCGTGTTTCTCGTCACTGTGGGCCCAAACCTGACTGTCCAATGACCTCTGGAGGATAACGGTGGCCCAGCGCTGGTAACCATCGAGCTGCCAAGGGGGAGCAGGTGGAGGGACAGCACCCTTTCCACCCTGGAATGACTCAGCGACAGTAACCTGCTGCGGGTCTGGATGCATTTCTGCCAAAAGCCGCTGGGTTTCAAGATTTGTTTCTGAGTCTCTGGGATCATGGCCGTTAAGCAGCTTGATCAGGAGCCAGAAAGGCCATTCATGGGCGGCGACTCGGGGTCTCATTGGGACAGGGAGGAAAGGGCCAGTTCTACCCCCATCCCCTGAGGCCCCACATGTCTCATCACTGTGGGCCCAAACCTGACTGTCCAGTGGCCTCTGGAGGATGGCAGCCACCGGACCTCTGGGCCACCATACCCCCCCGTGTCCCTCTCTTTCTGACTCATTTCACTTAGCATGATACTCTCCATGTAGTACCACTTGTGTGTGAATTTCATGGCTTCATCTTCTCTAGCTACATAGTACTCCATTGTGTAGATGCACCAAAGTTTCTTTAACCAGTCATATGTTCTATGGCACTCGGGTTTTTTCCAGATTTTGACTATTATGAACAGTGCAGCAGTGAACATAGAAGTGCAGATACCATTTAGACTATACTTTTTTGCTTCTCCGGGATATATTCCCAGGAGTGGTATTGCTGGGTCAAATGGGAGCTCAATTTCTAATTTTTTGAGAATCATCCATACTGTTTTCCAACAGGGCTGAACCAGTCAGCATTCCCACAGAAATACTTTCTTTAAAACTATGCAAGCATTTTAGGAGTGCCCCTCCTAGTATTGGGCTGGGCAGAAGGGAGATTCATCCCAGTTTCCAATTCTGCCAGGTGAGCCTATAGGGAAATTGAAGAGAAAGTTGAGTGCATTCTTAGTTGGGTGCACTTATGGGCTATTTTCTTCATTAGTTATTTTATTTTATTTATTTATTTATTTTGCTCTTTGGGTCACACCCAGCAATGCTCAGAGGTTACTCCTGGCTCTGCGTTCAGGAATCACTCCTTGCGGTGCTCGGGGGACCATATGGGATGCCAGGGATCAAACCCGGGTTGACTGTGTGCAAGGAAAACGCCCTACCCTCTGTGCTATCGCTCCAGCCCCCTTCATTAGTCATTAGTTATTGACAAACTGATTTAAAAAAAAAAAGAAAAGAAAAGGATGCTGAACATTTTTGCACTTATGAAGACCAAACACAGCTCAAATTTCTATGGGAGCTGAAAGGAGGATAATGTCACATTAATTAGGTGAAAAATATATCTTTTAAATTGATATTTTTAACTTACTGCATGAAGAACTCTGCTGATTACGTGTTTAATGATATGTTTTTCCAAAAAGCCAGTTAACTGTGATTGTATTATCCTAAAGATGTAACCTAAATAAATTATTTAAATTCCTTTTCCTTTGATAAAAGATTGCATTAGATAAACCAAATAAGTTTCCCATACCAAGTCGATCTCTACCAGTTCACATAAATTGTAGCATCCTACTTGACTGGTTTGACCTGGTATATTTTAGACTTAAATCATTTCTTAATTTCCCATTTTATTTCATAGTTTTTTCCCTTTATGTTGTGATGATATTTATCTGTGACTTCATCATAAGCTAGTAGCATGAATTTAAGAAAATATATAGTAATTTAAACAACTGGATCAAAGCCTCTTTGAACATTAGAGCCAGAAAACAGTTGTGATGACTTTAAGTCTGAAATAAGACATGTAACTCTCTGATTATGGATATAGCTACTCAGATTTATTTTCTTCTAACTTATCTATCTTCAAATGGCCCTTGTTAAAGCTAGAGATTTGGCAGTTTCCAGGAGGCCCTTGTATTCTATCTGGTTTTTGTCTACATTTGCTTTGACTTTTACAACCTTAATGCTAAATTTATAAATTGACATCCAGGATAAAAGAGCAGCTACAAAGTGGCACCATGTGCACTCATGGAAATGATCTAGGACACAGAATCATGAGAAAGTGCACAGCACAGAGGCTCATGTGCTAGACAGTGTTGATACATTTTTAAGTTTAAGTGGATTAAACCAATTCTATATCATTATTTAAAATATATGCAGACTTTAAAAGGAGAGAAATAGCAGTTCTCTAGTATTAAAGGGGTAGGCCAAGAACAGAATTGAATGTGTGAAGGTGTCATAACACTTGGTCAATAGGGAAAGAAGAAAGCATAACTAGCCGTGTGTGTGTTTGTGTGTCTGTGTGTGTGTGTTTGTGTGTGTGTGTGTGTGTGTGTGTATGATCATCTGTTTATTTCTCCTTTTCAGACATGAGATGACAAAGTAGGAGAGGGATTGGTTCTTCACATGCTTTGTATGGTTTCATATTTATGCTGCTTAAAGAGATAATTGTGTCTTGCAGTTTTCGTAATGCTGGCTGTTTGTCAGTTTCAAACCATCACGTAGCAGACTAGTTCAGGTTCACAGATAAAGGGTGTATACAACTGACATGGGCCAAATAACCAGAGCTGTAAATAATCACAGCTTCATATAAATATTCCTGTGACTTACTTTGAAAGATAATTCCTCTTCTTGAATATTTTGAGATGCCATTGATACTTTAGCAAATCTAATAATTTTTTTAAAAATCTGTGGTGTTTCTTTCTGTTAGGTTTTAAAGAAAGTCTCCAAATATATTCAAGAGCAAAATGAGAAGATATATGCTCCTCAAGGCCTGCTCCTGACAGATCCCATTGAAAGAGGTCTTCGAGTTGTATCTTTTTAGCTTAGATCATAAGGTCTAAATATCTGTTTTAAATTTTTAAAAAATATTGTGTACTATGATAGTACCATTTGGCTTTAACAAGAGAGAATTTAGCTGCTTCTTATATTTGCCCTATGAATCTTCTGTGTAAATTGTATACATGCTGTAGCCTCCAATCTTCAACATTTTGTGTGTGGGTGTGGGTGCGGGGGAAACATGTCTTCCTTTTGCATTGTGCAGGTCTCGATGGATTATTTGGTATTCTGGTTACCGTCTTTCTTGGTGGTTTTGAGGGCATCTTGTGGTAATAAAGGGGGTGGTGTGAGTAATGCATTTCAGCTGCAGAAACTCTGAACCTCAACCCCTTTGAAATGCATAAACTCATAATGTGTGGTGTTACTTGTCATCCAAATAAATTGCAGTTCTGTGGGTTCATCTAACTAGTTGAAATCAGTTACAGCTGCCATATATATAATTTTATTACCTTTGATATACTGTGCATATTTTAAAGGCAGTAAGTTTTGAAAATCTCAAAGTGAACTTGGTAAATAAAAATGGAAAAAAAAACAAATTTAGCTTGCTGGAATAATGGATGAAATATATATTTTTAAAACCTAGGTTAGATAGTCCATGACCTTCTGACACAGAAGCTCAAGAGTTTATGGTACTATACAGCAGTAGTTCCTAAAGTTTTAGAAGTCATGAACTCTTTCCCACAAAAAAAGTATACATATAATTTTAGGGCATTTTTGAATCTCTGGATTATTTCCATTGATTTTTCAATTAAAAACCTAGCTCTATGGTAAAGCATCATTTCTCAGAATATTTTATTCAGAAAATGTTTGCAGTACAGCATTTACAAACTACATGTGGAATATTGTGAAAATTTATTTTTGAAAATTTTTGGCAAGACTCCAAGGAGATGTAGCTCAAAGGAGTATTAACTCCAAATTCTGTCCCTGGCACAATATGCTCCCACCAATATCCATAGGAATAACCCTGGTGGCCCCAGCATCTGGGGTGAGCTGCACCTCATCCAGCCCAACCAATGAACTGTCAGACCCAATCATCAGGCCAAGTGCCTCTGGGAAGAGACTTCCATTTCTATGGCGATATCCTGCTTAGAAAAAAAATTTTGAGAGCCTTAGAGGTAGCCTTAGATTTAGAGTGAGCTAACTGCATACTCTGCATGCAGGAGATTTCAGTTAGATCCCCAGCACCACACAGTTCCCTGAGCTTTGCCAGGACCCCCTCTTTGCCCCTCAGCACAGAGCTGGAAATAGCCCGTGATCACTGCCAGGTGTGGCAGCAAAACAAAAAAGAAAAAAGTTTTCTTGAAAAATTTGAACAAAGTTAAGAAAATAATCATGTTTAAGTAGAATTTTTAAAATAAAGCAAATATTACAAGTCTTCATATTAGATGCATCTTGCCAAAGTTATCCTCTTCTCTATGCTGGGTTCTAGTGTGTTTTCTTAACAGCCATGCTGTTAGATTGAAATTACCATTTATGAAGACAGAAGCATGACCAGTGGGAGATAAACCATAAATTATAGGTAAGTGGTGTATATTGAAATTATATCGCTTATGTGCAGTTGTTGCAAATTCAGAGCTATGAATTTTCCTTCCTGCAAGGCAACTAATTATTAATGGCATATTCTCTTACCAGTTTAATATTTTAGCTATTTAACACATTAGTTGATAACTTTAAATGTGGTTTTTACTCTTCTATAAAATAAAATTTTGATTCTTAATATCTTTTGTTTTAACTCTAGGTTTTATTGTTTTAGAGTGAGGGGAGTTCTCTTATTTTCTTTTACTATTTAGTAACTATCCTAGGTATTTTAATGATTTTTGCATGTATAAATCAGTTTGGGGATCTTTCCAAATGACAGATGACTTTAATGGCCAATGGAATATTTCAGAGGAGAGTAGGGAGATTCTGAATATTTATTGTAGCTAATGGCCTCATAGCTCTGTAGAAGAAAACTTGCCTGGGTAGAACTATGCACTCAGTATTTTCATTTAGACTGTTTTTGTTCTTTGTATAGACATATAATATCCTTGAATAAGTGAGTAGCTAATATAGCAATCTATAGACAGAATCTTATAGAAATCATAATATGATAGGAGAGCTTTCTAAGTGATGGAACATCATACTTCAATTTGTGCCAGTTTCAGCCACGTACTCGTTCTACAAATAGCATTCTGCTTCACTTTTATCTGCTTTTATACTCTTTATTGAACCAACAAATCAACTAATATTTCAAAGTTGCCTTTAGCAAAGTGAATGTGTCACATGAATGCTTGAAAGTCAGATTTAAATGATGATTTCCGTTGCCGTTTTTTTTTTAATGACTGCAGTGAAACAGTGATACTCATCTACACTTTCTCATGTACAATTTTCAAACTGATATTTCTCAAATGAGTAATGGGGAACTTTATGTATGGTTTTTGTTACATGCCATTGAATAAGTTTGTTTTATTGATTGCAGCTGCTTTGACTTGGCACAGCTCATTTGTCATGACTCATTTTGCAGTTACTGTTGCTAAATATAATGTATTTCTGAGGTGGTGTGGTGTTTTAAGCAATTACACGCCAGAAAGTAATCTATCAATATTCAACAACTGTGAAATTTTTAAATGGAAAATATTTACATTAGGAACTAACTTGTGATAGTTTTATAAATGCAAATATTTGTGTTCAATAAGATGTACTTTTTAGAACTTCAAACCCACGTGCCAGTGTGGGCTAATGTCTTAGAGATGGAGGGAGAACCATAAGAATAATTAGTTTAGGGGCCTTAGTAATAGTACAGTGGGGGGGGCATTTACCTCACACACACCCATCCGGGTTCAATCCCTGGCAATCCATATGGTTCACCGAGCACTGCCAGGAGTAATTCCTAAGCGTGGGACCTGGAGTAATCAAAGAGGACTGCCTGGTGTGGCCCCAAAAACAACAAAACCGGGGCTGGAGTGATAGGACAGCAGGTAGGGCATTTACCTTGCACGCAGCTGGCCCAGCTTTGATTCCCAGCATCCCATATGGTCCCCTGAGAACTGCCAGGGGTAATTCCTGAGTACAGAGCCAGGAGTAACCCCTGTGCATCGCCAGGTGTGACCCAAAAAGAAAAAAAAATTAGTTCAGGGACCAGGGATGTGGCTCTGTGATAAAGTGCACACCTCACGTGTTAATCCTTGGGTTTGATCCCCAGCACCACAGTAAAAAAAGAGAAAGAAAAGTTATTCTACAGGATGTCTCAGATTGAAGATCAATATGGGAATTAATGATTTAACATATAAATCATGGAGCAGGCCTTCATATCTTTTTTAAAAAGCTTTAAACAAAAACGTTTTTCTCTTTAGTCTGTCATTTGGTGGTATTTTCTCTGTGGAATATTTTTATTTTAAAATGGGTTATATTATTTTCATAGTAATATAACAATAGCTAACATTTATTGATACTTTTTACATAGCATTATTTTGACTGCTTTATTTAATCACATCAGTTCTGTTTAATAGGTAAGTATTATCTCAATTTTTCAGAGGAGGAAGTTCAGGCATAGAGCTTCAGTTGTTTACCAGAGGCTGACATCTAGTAGGTGATAACTGAGGTAACTTAACTCCAGGTTTTATATAGTGTAATAATACCTCACACGAGATGAGAATATGCAGAGCCTAAATTTCTAGGCTGTTTAGCTAAGTATTCACAAATAATACAAATTCAGGTATTTTATTAGGTAGAACCCTTTGTTAATAGAACATACCTGACATATTAGGAGTTTGTATCTGTCAATATAAAAGAAATTATTAACATCCCTTTCTGATTGCTTTTCTTTCCTCTGATTATAGATACCACCTCCAGCTGGGCCCCTCATCTCTCTGCTGGCTGATCACTGAGTGTTCCCTACCTCCTCTCCAGAGCGTCATTCCTTTGTATCTGCTGCCAGAGCCACGGTGCCATTTACTCCAAGGACTAACTTTCTAAAATTCCACACCTGGAGTGACCTCTAGTCACTCAGCATCCACTTTGTGTCTCCAAATTGTGTAAGACTGTATATCTTTTAATTTGTTTCTGAGAAAACAACGAGGCATTTCATTTTTTAAATTTAAAATCAGTACTAAAATTTACAGTTGTAAATTTATTATTTGCAAAAATAAATTTACAAGGTTTATTTTATATCTGCCACCGGTATCAATGGTTTACTTCATTCCTTGGGCCAGCTTCCCAGGTGACTCTAGTCTTCAAATCATATCTTTACCAGTATTTAGTTCTAGTCCTTGAAATTAAGATACTCTTCTCCAGGATTTTGGTGATGGTAGAGTATGCCTATGGATTTGCTAATCCCAGATTTCAAAGAACTACCAGTTTTACCATAATTTAAATCCTAAATATCAATTTTTTTCTGTTCATTTTCTCAAAGTGAAACTCATTTAAAAAATAATGTATAACATCATTTGTTTCATTCTAGGATTTATTCCTAATTAATGCAGTATGTAATGCAATTATGCAATTCCACATGTTTGTTTGAGGGTTTCTTTGTTTGTTTGTTTTCCTGATGAGAGGTGGTTGAGGAGGTTGGGTTTGGGGGAGGGAGGTTTTCGGAGTTGGTTTTGGATTTGGTTGGGTGGTTTTTTGGGGGGGGGGGGTTTTGTTTGGTTGGTTTTTTTTTTTTTGAGGGTTTGGTTTTATTGGGTTTTATTTTTTGAGAATTTTGTTATTGCACTATCTTGAAAGTTGGGAAAGATATGCTATGTGTTGCTTGTTCATTACAAAAATAAGTAAGCACAATAAAGTGGATGCTAACCCATCAAACTCATCAGTGTCCCTGCTGTGTCCCTGACTATGTAATAAGCAAGTGTAATAAATATTTTAATTATAGTTTTGTTATAAATATAACTTAAAAAAATTTGATAGCAACAATACTGTACATTGCTGATTTTTAACTGTCCCTTCTGGCAAAACTTATAGTTTATAAACTTTCCTTATATACAGTATTCAGTACACAGAAATATTATGATTGGTTCAATTACAGTAATTTTCAACTAAACTGTCTTAAGTCAACATTTCTAGTTCTTTTAGACACATGTTTTTTACTTTGGGGCTTCTTATGCCCTCGTTCATCATTGTGGTTTGAAAGAACTGTATTTGGAAGAAAGTTAAGAAATATATTAGGAGAAAATGAAATAGTTAAAAGTTTTACTTTCAGAGATATTGTAGGTGCTAATACTGGATATAATCTTTTAAATTTAATTTCCTTTATGGATTTGTTATTCAATAAATCTCATTGGTTTATTTAATATTTTAATTGTTTGAAACTCCTGTTACTTTTCAGCCTGTAATCGTCTGCCTTTGAAACCTGTTGCAATAACATATTAGTAAAACTTTTCTTAAACAAATTGTCTCTGTGTCATATTTGGTGAGATTTGTAAAGCAGTGATGATAATGGCATTAAAACTGACAGCTATTGCTGCTATGGTGACTTTAATATTTTTAAGCAAACACATATATAGTTGGATTTTTCCAATTTTTACATGCATTTTTTCTGTTTTGTAGATAACTGTCAAACCCAGGGCCTCACACATGTGAAGCATGTGTACTTTACCGTTAACCTACATCCCCAAAGCCTTGTTTTTTCTCATTAGGGAAAATATTTTGGCTAAATAGGTTAAAGAAACAAAAAATAGTTCTGCATAGTAAATATCCATTTCAGGGATTGGAATGTTTAGTTAGGAAATTGTTACAACCATTATTGTCACTATCTTGTGTTAGCTGATCCCTTTTTTTTTTTTTGCAGTGCCTGTGATCAAACCCATTCTTAGACACATAAGGCATGTGCTTAGTCACTGAGCCATATGCCCTCCCTGGCCACCTATTTATACATATTTTTGTTTAATTTTTTTTCTTTTTATTTCCTTTTTGGGTCACCCAGAAATGCTCAGGGGTTACTCCTGGCTCTGCACTCAGGAATTACTCCTGGTGATGCTTGGAGGACCATACGGGATGCTGGGAATCAAACCCGGGTCGGCCACGTGCAAGGCAAACACCCTCCCTGCTATACTATTGCTCCAACCTCACCTTTTTATATTATTATAATGACTTAAGAAGTTCTAAAACAGCCTATGTTACCATTATTTGCTTTTGTGAGATTTGTTTTTCTTTATAAAATTTTCAGTTTCTTTCCTACCCAATTAAAATAGCAAATAATACTCTTATGTAGCCAGTGATCAAAAAAAGTCAGATCCAGGATATATAAAGTAATAAAGATTAACAAAAAGAAATTTAAAGCCCCTAACAACAAATGGGTAGAGGAAATGAATAGACACTACTTAGAGAAAGACGGGCGGATAGCTAGTAGGCACATGATAAAAAATGTTCAGCATCACTTCTCAGAAAAATACAAATAAAGACAACAGCAAGAGAACATCACACCAGTGAGAATGGCACATATCAAAAATAGCAGGACTATCTTAAACTAATAAGCTTCTGCACCTCAAAAGAAATAGCGACCAAAATACAAAGAGAGTCTACAGAATGGGAAAGGATATTCACCGAATACACATCCGACAAGGGGTTGATACAAGGATATACAAAGTACTGGTTGAACTCCACAAGAGAAAACATCCAACCCCATCAAACAATGGCGCAACAAAATGAACATAAGATTTCTCAAAGAAAAAATCCGAATGGCAAAAAGGCACATGAGAAAATGCTCCACATCATTAATCATCAGGGAGATGCAGATCAAAACAACAATGAGATACCATCTCGCACCACAGAGACTGGCCCACATCCAAAAGAACTAAAGTGACCGGTGTTGGCACAGATGTGGCGAGAAAGGGCCCCTCCTTTACTGCGGGTGGGAATGCTGACTGGTTCGGCCCTTTTTGAAAACAGTATGGACAATTCTCAAAAAATTAGAAATTGAGCTCCCATTTGACCCAGCAATACCACTCCTGGGAATATATCCTGGTGAGGCAAAAAAGTACGGTTAAAATGACATCTGCACTTCTATGTTCATTGCTGCACTGTTCACAATAGCCAAAATGTAAAAACCCGAGTGCCCGAGAACAGATGACTGGTTAAAGAAACTAGTACATCTACACAATGGAGTACTATGTAGCTGTTAGAGAAGATGAAGTCATGAAATTTACACGCAAGTACTACATGGAGAGTATCATTCTAAGTGAAATGAGCCAGAAAGCCAGGGACATAGAAAGATGCATTCATCTGGGGAATATAACGTAACAAATACCCAAGAATAGCCAAGATAAGTACCAGGAGGTTCACTCCATGGCTTGAAGGCCAGCCGCACGTGCTAGGGGGAAAGGCAGCTCAGATAGAGAAGGGAACACCAAGTAAAGGGTGTTGGGAGGATCCTCCCAGGATGGGAGATGCATGCTGAAAGTAGACTATAGACCGAACATGATTGCCACTCAATGCCTCTTTTGCAAACCACAGCACCCAAAAAGAGAGAGAGAACAAAAGGCACGAAGGCAGGGTGGAATGGAAAGGGGAGGTGGAAGGGATACTGATCATTGGTAGTGGAGAATGGGCACTGGTGGAGGAATGGGTACTCAATTATTAAAGGTAAAGGTAAAGGCCCTCCCGTTGATCGTCGATTTGCTCGAGCGGGCCCAGTAACGTCTCCATTGGAGACTTTGTTGTTACTGTGTCTGGCATATCGAATACTCTCGGTAGCTTGCCGGGCTCTCCGAGAGGGGCGGAGGAATCGAACTCGGGTCGGCCATGTTGGCCGCTTGTAAGGCGAACGCCGTACCCGCTGTGCTATCGCTCCAGCCCTCAATTATTATATAACTGAAACTCATGCACAAAAATTTGTAAGTCTACAACTGTATCTCATAGTGTTTCACTAATAAAAATGTTTTTAAAAAATTGAGAAGAAATGAATAGAAGTTTCCTCAAAAATACAAATGGCCAAAAGGCACATGAAAAAATGCTCCACATAGCTAGCCATCAGAGAGATGCAAATCAAAACGAGATATCACCTCACACCACAGAGACTGGCACACATTCAAAAGAACAAAAGCAACCAGTGTTGGAGTGGATTTGGGGGAAAGGGACACTTTCACTGTTGCTGGGACTGCCCACTAGTCCAGCCTTTCTGGAAAACAATATGGACCATTCTTCACAAACTAGAAATTGAGCTTCCACATGACCCTGCAATACCACTTCTCAGAATATATCCTGAGGATGAAAAAGGGACAGCAGAAATGACATCTGTACCTATATGTTCATTACAGCACTGTTCACAATAGCCCAAATCTGGAAACAACCCAAGTGCCCCACAACAGATGACTGGTTAAAGAAACTTTGGTACATCTACACAGTGGAATACTATACAGCTGTCAGGAGAGATGAAGTCATGAACTTTGCTTATTAATGGATAGATATGGAGAGTAACATGCTAAGTGAAATGAGTCAGAAAGAGGAACAGTCTTAGAAGGACTGTACTCATTTGTGGAGTATAAAACAACATAACATGAGTCTGACACCTAAGGATAGTAGATACACGGCACAGGTAGATTATTCCATAGCTGGAAGCCTGCCTCATGAGCAAAGGGGAGAAGGCAGCTGGAATAGATAAGGGATCACTAAGAAAATGATGGCTGGAAGAATCAGTTGAGATGGGAGATGTGTGCAGAAAATAGATAAAGGACCAAACATGATGGCCTCTTAGTAGCTATATAGCAAAAACAATGCCCAAAAGTACAGAGAGATTATGGGGAAAATCATCTGCCATGGAGACGGGGGGGGGGGGGGGGTGGAAAAGTGGGGATATACCGGGGATATTGGTAGTGGGGAATGTGCACTCATGGAGGGGTGGGTGTTTGATCATTGTGTGATTATAACCCAAACATGAAAGCTTGTAACTTTCTCACAGTGATTCAATAAAATTAAATAAAAAAAAGATACTCCAATTTCATCCAGATTGCAGCAAATTGTATGATTTTGTTGTTCTTTATGGCTGCATAATATTTTGTTGCATATAATCCCACACCTAAATCATCCATTCTTCTGTCACTTGGACACCAGAGTTGTTTTTATCTCTGGCTATTGTACTTAGTGCTGCAATGAACATAGGTGTGAATATCGTTTAGAATTAACGTGTTTTCATATTGTGGGTCAATAGCAAGCAGTGGGGTCACTCGTTCATATAGGAGCTCTCTTCTGGGGGGAGGGGCGGGATTTGGGGGCCACACCTGTAGGTGCTTAGGGGTTATTCCTAGCTCTTCATTTAGGAATTACTTCTGGCAGTGCTTGGGGGACCATCTGAGACACCTTTGGATATGTTATTCCCTTTCTGTTTTCTTTATGTCCCATATATGAAAGAGAGCATTCTGTTCTGACCCTCTCCAGATTACCTTCACTCAGGATATTTTCCAGATCCCATGTAGCCAGAAAATTGCATGGTTTCATCTCTTCATCTAGGCAATCAGTATTCCATTGTATATATGCACCATAATTTCTTTATGCAGTCATCTATCTATTCTTGG